AAGAACTGTGGATGCTGTAAATCAGAATCAAAAACAAAGTTGCTGGAAAAGCTCAGCAGGTTTGGCAGCATCTGTGAAGGAAAAAATCAGAGTTAACATTTTGGGTCCGGTGACCCTTCTTCAGAACTCTTGGTAGCTAAGGAAACGTCAGTTTACATGCAGAAAATAAGGAGGGGAATGGGGTAGGGAGTAATTTTAGGATAAAGGTGAGAGCCCAAAGAGAGAGAAGAGCAGTTGGATAAATAAAGGAGGTGAGAATGATTTGGCTAGGAGGGTGAATAGCTGTTAATGGGGACTGTTAATGACTAACAATAGGTAGTGTGTAATGGCATCAGGTTATTTTTTTTTCCATAGGATTCCTACAGTGTGGAAACAGGCCCTTCGGCCCAACAAATCCACACCAACCCTCAGAGCATCCCACCCAGACCCATCCCCCTATAACCCACCCAACCTACACATTCCCTGAATGCTATGGGCAATTTAGCATGGCCAATCCACCCGGCCTGCACATCTTTGGACTGTGGGAGGAAACCCACGCAGACATGGGGAGAATGTGCAAACTCCACACACAGTCGCCCGAGGCTGGAATCAAACCTGAGTCCCTGGTTCTGTGAGGCAACAGTGCTAACCACTGAGCCACCAAACCACCATCTGGTGATGGTGCAGGCTTGATTAAGGATGTCAGAGTAAAAAAAAAATCCCTAGAATTAAGCATTCAGCTTGAAAGAGGGGAATTTGTGTTCGAAACAATGCTAAACTTAAGTAAGAGCAATTACAAACAATGAAGCAGAACTGGTTGGAGTTGGACTGGGAAAGGTGTTTAGCAGCAAAGATGATTGGGCAAAAATAGCCGATGTTTAAGTAAGAAGGGTCTGAAGAAGGGTCTAGACTTTCCTGCTCCTCTGATGCTGCTTGGCCTGCTGTGTTCATCCAGCTCTACACCTTGTTATCTTAGTTGTTTAAGTAAATAGTTCATGGCTCACAGCAAAGACATATACCAGTGAGGAAGAATGATTTTAGGAAGGGGATAAGCCAGATATGGTTATCCAGGGATATTGAAATTAGTATCATATTGAAAAAAAATACATTCAATATGGCATAGAGTAGTGTAAGAACAAAAGATAGGCAAAGAAATAGTAGAGGGAGGAAATAAACTTTGAGGGTAAACTTGAGATGGATAGCAAGCGCTTCTTTAAATATGTAAAAGGAAGAGAGAAGTCAAAGTACGCATTGGCCCCTCGGAGAATGAGGCTGGCATAATAATAATGAGGACCTAGAGAAGTTAAATAAATACTTTGCATCAGTCTTCGCAGTAGAAGACACTAAAATTACTGAGTATTCAAGGGGCAAAAGGAGAGGAAATAAATACAGAAACTATCGCTGGAGAAGAAGTACTAGGGAAAATAATAGGGCTAAAGACTGTAAAGTCCCCTGGACCTGAGCTGGTGCATATTAGGGGACCTTAAAGAATGTACCTATATGATAATGGATGCAGTATTCATAATCTTCCAGGAATCCTTAGATTCTGGAAAATCCCACAAGATTGGAAAACTGCCAATGTCGCAGCTTTATTTAATAAAGGGAAGGAGCCAAAAAAAAACAGGTACTTTAAATGTCTGTTATTGGGAAAATGTCTATTATAAAGGGTTTAAAGCAGAACATTTAGAAATACTTAATACAATCAAGTAGAGTCAATGTGGAGGGGAAATTATACCTGACACATTTAGTAGAATTCTTTAAGGAGGTAACAAGCAGGACAGATGAAGAGGAAACAGGGATTGCAATAAATTTGGAAAAGGAAGGAAAGTGGTATTGAGGATTATCAGATCAACCACAATCTCATTAAATATCAGAGCAGAGTTGATGGGCTGAATGGCCTACTTTTGCTTCTATGTCTTATGGTATTAAACCGAGGTCTCACCTGTCCTATTAGAAAAATGTAAGAGATCCCATTGTGTGATTTTGAAAGAGGGAGGGCAGTTTGCTGCAACCAAAACTTATATCACAACTTTTATTTTTGTTCATCTGTGGGATATGGATGTTGTTAGGAAGGCCAACTATTGTTCCCCATCATAAACTGTACATGAAAACACCACGATGAGATTCCTTCTTGAACTGGTGCAGCCCACGTGATGTAAGTACACCCACAGTGCTGTTAGGAAGAGAGTTCCAGAAAATGGATCCAGCGACATTGAAAGTATGGCAATAAAATTCCAACTCAGAATGGTCTTGGAGGGAAACTTGCATGTGGTGGCATTTCCATGTATCTTCTATTTGTGTCCTTTTAGGTGTTAGAGGCTACGAGTTTGGAAGATGCTGTCTCAGGAGCCTTATTAAGCTTTTGTCGTTAATCTTGTAGATGGCACACATTGCTGCCTCTGCATGTTAGTGATGGAAAGCATGAATGTTTAAGTTGGTGGATCTAAGTGGGGTCAAAACAACCAGGTTGCTTTGTTCTGGATGATTTTGAGCTTTGTAGAGTGTTTTGAGCTGAACCTTGTCTAGGCAAGCGGGGGTATTCCATTACACTCCTGACTTGTGCCTTGCAGAAAGTGGACAAACTTTAGGGAGTCAAGAGTTGAGTTACTCACTTTAGAAAATCCAGCCTTGGATCTGCTCTTGCAGACACAGTACAACATTTCTGGTCCAGTCAGTTTCTGTTCAGTGGTGATCCACAGGATGTCAATTGTGAGGGGTACAGGTGACAATGGTAATATCATAGAATGTCAAAGGGAAATGATTAATGACCCTCCTGTTAGAGATGGTCATTGCTTTTCACTTGTAAGGTACCAATGATATTTAACCCCCCCCCCCTCAGCCTGAATGTTATTCAGGTCCTGTTGCTTGTGAGCAGGTTATGTTTCAGTATCTGAGAATCTGCAAATGGAACTGCAAACATTAAACTTCTCTTCTGAAGGCAGAAAATGATTAAGCAGCTGAACACGTTGGGCCTTGGAAACTACCTTGAAGAACTCCTGCTATAATGTTTTGGGGATGAGATGATTGAACTTCAACAAGCACAATCTTTTTTTTTGTGCCAGGTATGACTCTCGGAGTGGAAAGTTTTCTTTGACTCCTATTGACTCCAGTGTTTCCTAGTGCTATTTGATACTATATTCAATCAAATGCTTCCTTGATATCAATGCAGTCACACTCATGTCTGAAGTTCAGATCTCATGTCCAGTGTTGGTGCAATGTTGCATTGAGGTCAGGAACTTAACGAATACCTAATGTAACCAGAGATAGTGGGAACTGCCGATGCTGGAGAATCTGAGATAATAAAGTGTAGAGCTGGATGAACACAGCAGGCCAAGCAGCATCAGAGGAGCAGGAAAGCTGACATTTCAGGTCTAGACCCTTCTTCAGAAATTTCTTCTCCAGTTCTGTAGAAGGATCTAGACCCGAAACGTCAGCTTTCCTGCTCCTCTGATGCTGCTTGGCCTGCTGTGTTCATCCAGCTCTACACCTTGTTATCCCCAAGGTAAGCAAATGTTTTGGTCATTATCGCATCTCATAGTGAACCAATCGACTTTTGTATTTTCTACATTGAAAAGTGGCCTTACTTCAAAATTTAGTCACTGGCTGAGAGTATTTTCTGAAGACCTGAGATGGAGAATGGTGCTATATAAATACAAATTCTTTCTTTAGCTCGATCTCACTATATTTGATTAAAACAAAACAACAAAATCCTAGAAAGCATACAACACCTAATGCAGTGAGTTGCCACTTGTTATTGGAGATATGTTATTCACATATTTTCAATGATGTGCACATCTATTGAGAGAGAGGACAGAGCTGTTACCATAGATAGTAAGCTCTATACTATGAAAACTGAGGCAATTAATTAACAAGATACAGGATCTGGACAACGTGATATATATTTTGAAGTACACAGGTTAGGTAGTGTAAGAATACCATATTGTATGTAACAGGATCAATGGAGCTCACAGACTTATGATTTGATATGTAAGACTTTAATACAGGTGAATACATGATTGCATGTTAATACATGATATAATATACACCGAAAGTTATTTGAACCAGTCATGTATATAAATATTGTCCTACCTGGACAGGTACAATGCAAATGCATATTATTTGGGAAGCTTATCCCCTTCTCTACTCAACTGGACAACTAGCTGTTACTTTCAAGTCTGTTTCCTAAATATTCCATTCATTTCATCTTCAAGTCAGTGAGAGAAGTTCCCAGTTAAATGTCATTGCACTTAGTTCAGGATCATGAACTGGTTTGTTAATGGCTCCTATATTTTGTACACTTCGATATGCCTTACAGAGTATATGGATAAACATGTACATAGGGCAGCATGTCCTTTCTAGGTGCTTGGGCTAGATGTAACGGTTTAAACAATATTAAACGGAACATCTGCAAATTTCTTTTCTTTTTCAAAATTCTTTCCCTTGCCAGCAGCATTAACATAATGTCCCTTGAGCTTCATTTGAACATTAACAAACAGAATGAATCCCTGAGCCATGAAGATGAGATGGTAGGGCACATGACCAGAAGAGATAGGTCAAAAGTAGTATCTTAAAGGAGGAAAGAGACAGGAGAGCTGAGAGGTTTGGGAAAGGAATCTCAAAGCTTAGGACCCATGTGGTTAAAGACAATAATGGTGTAATTAAAATCAGAGAAACTTAAAAAGACCTAAACTTTAAGGAATTCAGTGATTTTGATGGTTGACAGAGACAGGGATGAGCATGAGGGAATTTGAATCATAGAACCGCTACAGTGTGGAAGCGGACCATATCTCACCCAGACCCAACGATCTGCCCTATCCCTGTAACCCCTGCATTTCCCATGGCTATTCCACCTGTCTTACACACTATGGTACAATTTATCATGGCCAATCCACCTAACCTGCATATCTTTAAACTCAGGGAGGAAACCAGAGCACCCAGAAGAAACCCATGCAGACATAGGGAGAACATGCAAACTTCATACAGACAGTCACCTGAGGCTGGATCAAACCCAGGTCCCTGGTGGTGTGAAGCAGCAGAGCTAATCACTGAGCCACCGTGCCATTCCTTATTGAAAGCAATAAAGAATTTAAAATTGAGGTTTTGTTTCTCTAAGTGCTGAGTTAGTTCAGCAGGCACAGGGATTCTAAATGCATGGGGCTTAACGTAAGTGAGCAGATTGGATGACTTCAGGTTTATTAGAGGGTAAAAATATGAACGCTGGTGAAAAGAGCTGTTTTTAAAATAGCTAAATTGAGAGAGAAAAAGCATGCCTGAGGGTTTCAACCAGGTGAGCTGAGATAGGGTAGAGTTGGCTGATGATATGGAAATAGAAATAGGCAGTCCATGTAATGGTAGAAATATATCATCAGAAGTTCTTCCTGGGGGTCAAAGTTTTGAGGAGATAGCAGAAAGATCAATCAGGGTAGTGTTGTTGATGTGATGTGCATGAAGGCATTTGACACAATGCCACGTGACATACCTGTGAGCAAAGTTATAAATCATGGTATAAAAGGGGCAGCAGTAATGTGGATGCAAAATTGGCTGAGTGAAAGGGAGTTCTGAAGAAGGGTCCCAACCTGAAACGTCAACTTTCCTGCTCTTCTGGTGCTGCCTTGCCTGCTGTGTTCCTCCAGCTCCACACTGTGTTATCTCTGACTCCAGCATTGGCAGGTCTTACCATCTCTGGCTTGCAGTGGAGTTCACCAGTGTTTGGCACTGGGACCTGTGGTTTTCCCGATGTATATTAATGATCTAGATCTTGGTGTGCGAGGGACCATTTCAAAGTTTTACAGATGACACTAAACTTGGAAGAATTTCAAACTGTGAGGAGGACAGTGTGAAACTCCGAAAGCCAGTGTAGGCAAGATGGGAGAAATGGCCTGTGATTTAACAATTCTGTGAAATACAACACCAATGTTATGAACAGCCTTTTGTAGCCTTGAGTTGCCAGGAAGAAGGATGGATTCATTGGCTAGGGAACGGAATTTATTATGTGACGGAAGCTTTGGTTTTCCCAATAGTTGGAAAAAGTATCACTCTGGATATTAGAAAGCATTCTGACAATTTAGAGGCAATGGCATAATCAAGAGAGGTAATGGTGATGTAGAGCTGGGGCTAGTGTCGTACATATGGAAAATGATGCTTGTTTTCAGACAGTATTACCAATGAGCAGCATGTAGGCAGGAAATAAGGGGGACACAACAATAGATCATTTGGAAATTCCTTTACATATTTGCTGCTACCCCAGAAGGTTTATCAATTGGCAGTGTCCAGCTTAATTTATTGTAGTGCATTTCAATGTGTGATTCACTTACACAGTCTACCAAAGGCCAAGTGTTTTGCTCTGACAATATGTTTATCAGAGACTGAGCAGCTGGGAGGACTTCTTCAGTGACAGGTCACTGCTTGGTGACTGAGTCGCACACAGTGGAGAGGGAACCCCAGCTGGTTGTAAAATGTTTCTGCAAAGTCAGAACATGTTTCAGCTTCCCAGTATCTCCAAGTGACAGACAACTTCTTGGTAGCTGCCAAAACCGATGATGGGTTTCATTGAATCAAACGTAAGCTTTGATTTTGCAAGAGAAGCAAGAGTAAAGCGGAGCTGGGCTTCACAACAGCTCCATTAGTGTTACTGTTGTCTTTCAGGGAAAGATCCACCAGCTTGTAGTCAGTTCATCAGTATTAAACCTTGGCCTCTCTTTGACACCAATGATCTTGTCAAGACCCTGGAAACAGATTGCCTTTCTGATTGGATGGCACAATGGGAAACCTAACAATGTAAACAAAAAAAAAGTACTTATAGCCTGGCCAGTCCCATCAAAACAAAATATGTTAGTTCTCCATTCTGGTGCTTTTGACATGGTTTTCCTTTCAGGGTTCATTCACATCTTTGCTACCTCCTTTTGGAATTCTTCTGCAGTGATCTGAGGAAACTCCAAGACCAGGCTAACATTGTGGTGCAGTACCATCCTTCCAGTTGAACCTGAGGTACGCCTGATATTTGAGGAAGTGGATATTCCACACCACGAACTGAAGGAATGGCATGAGTAAACAAATGCTCCCAATGATGCAGCCCACAGCAGCACCTGGAGTCTCGCTGTAGTTTAGTGACCTGTAGATATATGCCTTTCCCTTGAGGTTGGTGCCTCCAGCGGCCCAGTAGATGACGGTGAAGATGATGAATGAAAGGCAATACATCAAGGTGTAAACAAAATGGGCGAGGTGAATGGGAGATGCAGCCACACTCAGCTCCAGCAGTACAAGGACCGAGTTGATCACGTGCATGTTGATGTTGATGGAGTCAGGGGCTCGCCCTGGAATGTAGTCAAAGCTCCAGAAAGCAATAGTGACAAATAGGCTGGTCACACAGCTGAGGTTGTACAGACACCATTGTATGCAGATGGTGGGATACAGTACCGAAGACGGTGGGTCGAATTGTGTGTGCAACTTCAGAGCAGGAGTCTCAACTTCAATTTCTGGAACTGCAGATGGTGAAGAATACAGAAATTTAATTATTAAGACTTCATCCTCAACAGCTGTTTGTTATCTGCTCTGAGATGGGAATCATCAAAATCCTTTGACTTTTTTTCATTTATCCGGAATCAATGGGCCGAAGGTTCATAAAGGGGGATTGAGAAAGGCTGGTGATCCCTACATAGAGACAGAGAAAAAGAGAGATGGACAGGGAAGCTAACTCTTGTCATAGTGGAAATAGTTGTTGTAGAGCATGCATCTTGTAGGCATGTTAATCTCATGGGAAGGTCTGAGTTCAAGTGGAGACTTAATGTGGCGAAGTTTCTGTTGCAGATTTTTTACCACTCTTGGTCTCTTCTAATGACGGTGTTGGAAATGTGATTGGAGGCGTGGAGGACAGATTGGCAGTTCAAGTATCCATCAGTTTAAAGTCACAGAGTGATAGAGTCATTCAGCATGGAAACAGACCCTTCAGTGAAACTTGTCCATGCTGACCAGTCTACCCAAACTAAACTAGTCCCATTTGTCTGTGCTTGGCCCATATCCCTCTAAACCTTTCCCATTCATGTACCTGTCTGAATGTCTTTCAACTGTTGTAACTGTACCTGCATCTACCACTTCCCCAGGCAATTCATTCCACATACGAACCATCCTCCTTGTGAAAAAGTTGCGCCTCAGGTCCCTTTTAAATCTTTCTCCTCTCATCTTAAATGTATACCATCTAGTTTTGAACTCCCCCACCCTAGGGAAAAGATCTTTGCTACTCACTGTATCTATGCCCCTCACGATCTTATAAACCTCCATAAGGTCACCCCTAAGCCTCTAATGCCCCAAAGAAAAACAAAATCCTAGTTTATCCAGCCTCGCTCCAAACCTTCCAGACCTGGTAACATCCTTGTAAATCTTTTCTGCACCCTTTCCAAATTAATAACATCCTTCCTATAGCAGGGTGACCTGGACTGTACATAATGCTCCAAATCTTTGAATGGGCTTATGGCAGATTTGAGGTAATGGTGCATTATGAAGAAACTTGATGGTGAGAACATTGAAAGTTGTTCTATTTCCATTACATAATTGATATTCAAATGTTGATTGTGCTGTAGGAAACTATAAAGGTCTCTTCTATCATGCTAGCATATGAAGAAAGTGTTTTTGACATATTGAAGCCAGTGTTTAAATTAATGTGGATGCCGGATAGGAATGGAATAAAACAAGAGGAGAAAAGGAGATAACAAGGTGTAGAGCTGGATGAACACAGCAGGCTGAGCAGCATCAGAGGAGCAGGAAAGCTGATGTTTCGGGTCTAGACCCTTTTTTAGAAAAGGGTCCAGACCCGAAACGTCAGCTTTCTTGCTCTTCTGATGCTGCGTGGCCTGCTGTGTCCATCCAGCTCTACACCTTGTTATCACAGATTCTCCAGCATCGGCAGTTCCCACTATCTCTGAATCAGAGAAAAGGAGATGATGCTTTACAAAACTGTCAAAACCTGTATCAAAAAAAAACTTCAAAATTTGCATAGCAAGGTTGTGATGGTGAAACTATCAACGTTTGCTGTCAGTGCAACTGTGGAACTGGTAGCAACTTTTGGAGTTCGCGTGCATGCAGTCTCAATGTGAGAATCCAGAAATTGCTGACAGTATCTCAACGTTTCTCCATAAAGCATGCTGCTGAAATTCCCTGGGACTGCAATCAACTGGAAATCGTTGAATGGATGAAACCCTGCCCTTTTACCCTGTTTGACTTTCTGTGAAAAAAGAACTCTTCAGAAAGTGACATCTCATTGAACTAAATCCAAGCAGATTGTTAATGGCATGCTAAATTCATTATTCCTTCTGAACTGCCTCTTTGACTTTGAGAAACCAATTTTATACTTAAGAATACCACATTTCTCCGTTATGATTTTTAAAAAAAAAGTTTTAAATTAATTATTTTCAATTTTTTTCAAAGTATTGAAGCTTCTTTATTAACCCAATGTGTATGCTTCAATTATTACCTTTTCGCTCTGCAAAACTTGAATTAAAGGTGGAAAACTTCATTGCATTTTACTTTTTGATTTGCTGTTTGCTTGGATGGTTCAGTGCGTCAGATCTCTTTGACTTGGCACCAGGTACAACATAACACTGAGAAATCTATTCTACAGTGGTCTTTTCATGAACAGAGTTCCTTTCCACAGTCCACGATACTTAGGTCATTGCCTTACCTGGATTACAGCTTGAGATCTCCTCCAAAGATGCCGCTCTGATGTTCTGTGTGGGCCTCTTCTGTCCATGCACCATGTGGCAAATCAAATTTACCAATGCCAAGTTGAAGTAAAATGTCAAGACGACATAGGTTAGGTGTGTCAGGAAGATGAACCATTTGGGGTGATGGGTTTGGACTCCACTGCAAATGCACCAGACCAGGGTGTAGACTGCAGTGAAGATTCGATAAATCAACCAGACATATGGGTGGAACTTCCACTGCAAGTGGGAAAAGGGAACCATTCAGTTAGTGTGAACTCAGAGTTTGCTCAGAAGGTGAATTGCCTCAAACTTGGTAAAGATCGATTAAACAAAAATTAGTAATAACTGTTAAATAATGGAAGGGAAGATCAGTCAGGGCAAATAATAAACATTTCCTTCCCCCCCACCCCCCACGCCCCTCCAAACCCTGCATAAAATTTGCACCTTTCTGCATACATTCAAGTTAAGAATTTGTACCTGTCAATTTTCTCTCTTTTTCTGAAAGTACTGATTCATGATGTGGAGTAGAGTACCATGTCCAAGTTGTATTTGTTGTGTTAGGCAAGATAGTGTAAGTAAGAGATGGTAAGAACTGCCGATGCTGGAGTCAGAGATAACACAGTAAGGAGCTGGAGGAACACAGCTGGCCAGGCAGCATCAGGGGAGCAGGAAAGCTGACGTTTTGGGTCGGGACCCTTCTTCAGAAATTGGGGAGGGGGAAAGGAGCTCAGAAATAAATAGAGAGAGGAGGGCTGGGGCTGGGGAAGGTAGGTGTGATGGTGATAGGTGAGTGCAGGTAGGGAGTGGTGGGGATTGGTCAGTGAGGTGGGAGGGGCGGATAGTTGGGAGAGATGATGGACAAGTTGTGTCAGATCAAGGAAGCGGGGATGAGAAGGAGGCTTGGTCATGGGATGAAGCCAGGGGTTGGGAGATTTTGAAACTAGTAAAGTCCACATTGAGACCATTGGGTTGTAGGCTCCCAAGGCGGAATATGAGTTGCTGCTCCTCCAGTTTGCGGGTGGCGTCATTGTGACACTGGAGGAGGCCCAGGATGGACATGTCACCCAGGGAATGGGAGGGGGGAGTTGAAATGGTTTGTGACTGGAAAGTGTTGTTGTCTGTTGCGAACAGAGCGCAGGTGCTGTACAAAGCGGTCTCCGAGCCTCCGCTTGGTGTCACCGATGTAGAGGAGGCCACATTGGGAGCAGTGGATACAGTAGACCATGTTGACGGATGTGCAGGTGAAACTCAGTCTGATGTGGAAGGTTTGTTTGGTGCATTGAATGGGGGTGAGGGGGGAGGTGTAGGAGCAGGTGTAGAACTTCCTGCGGTTGCAGGGAAAAGTGCCGGGGTTGGTGGGGCCAGTGGGGAATGTGGAGCGGACGAGGGTGTCGCGGAGAGAGCGGTCCCTACGAAAGGCAGATAGTGGTAGGGAGGGAAATATCTCTTTGGTTGTGGGGTCGGATTGTTGGTGGTGGAAGTGGCGGAGAATGATACGTTGGATATGGAGTTTGGTGGGGTGGTATGTGAGGACAAGGAGGATTTTGTCTTTGTTGTATTTGTTGTAAGTAAGTTATCTTAAGTAGGATAATGCAAGACAGTAACAGGCCATTTGGTGCAAAAAGTCATCTAACTAAATTATTGCTGAGAAAAAGAAACATTTTGCGGAAGCAATTCATCTTGCACTCATCAGGACAATTTGCAAGAATGCCAAAGTAAAGAGAAAAAAAATTATACTGCTTGTAGGAGAGTGCTGATTGGTTGGCATACAGCCTCTGATTGGAGGAGACATTGCGATGGTGAATGAATGAGTTGATAGGTAACCAATAGGGATGTGGCCAAAACTAATGGTGCTGCTGGTGGAATACGCACTTTGAATATGCATTTCCTGACCTTGACAATTCATTAAAGGTCCTGTAAAATTGGACACTTTCTTTATTTCATCATTTTTCCTTTCTATGTTTTGGTTTATTTTTCTGTTTTTTTTAAGATGGTGCCAGAGAGTGGCGACACTATAGTACACCTATCACTGTATTTTGTAACAAGATATCCATGACAATAAGTAAATAAATGAATCAAATTGAGCTTCTTGCAACACTGAATCAAGCACTTTATTCCTGGCCATAGCTGGCTGCTCCTATTCGACTTGTCTGCCTTGCTCCCTCCAGGCACAGTGAAAAGTTCCCTCTTATCATCTCTTCTACCAAGATCCCCAACAGAGCGTCCACAAAACTAGGAGCTCATTCGCTCCTACATCGAGTCATTCTCTGCTGTATCCCAGCTCAGATTCACCTGCAGTTGAACTGCCTGCAGCCATGATGCACTGCCCCTTTAATAGGCTCAGGCTGGTCTTAAACATCGCAGGCTAGTTTTCAATTTTTGCTGATGTAAAGCAGCCAATGAACAGAGTGGTTAGTGCTGGCTGGGAACTCCAATCATTTGACTGAGCAGGGAGCTCAAATTTAGTATGCCACCTGCATTGTGTGGGCGCACAGGTTCGGGATTAGTCATAATTCCCGTGTTTGTTATGAGGGTCTAATCAACTGATCCCCTCGAATGTGTCCCTCTCCTGGTATTAGCTTGAAAGCTACAGAGCAATTCAGAACTGCACAGTTCACCCTGTCTCCCTTTAGCTGGAGAGAGTTGCAGATAGTGAAAGCAGTTTCAATCTCATGATGAATCACTTTTGAATTGATTTACTGCTAGAGGTAACAGGAACATAACTTCTGTCCTACCTGTGACAGAAGGATTAATTGTGGATGTTTAGTCTTCAGAGAACGCTTTTCCCGAGTGAACTCCTGCTTAAGGTGCTTCGTCCAAGAAGTCCCCATATTTTTTTGCAGCTTTCATGCACTTCAAAACTTTCACTGACTACTCGTCACAGTCTGCCCTGTATTTATATGGGAGCACTTGGCTCTGGTAGTTGGAGCTTGCTAAAAAGAATGACTCAGTACTGATATCACTAAAAGTTATTCTGGCAGTCACACGACTCTTCCCTTCCTTTAACCCCACCCCCTTCCACCCCTCCCTGTAAAGGAAACTAAACAACAGCTTTCAATTTGAAGCTGTGTGTGGAGTAGCTGAGACTCTGAAACTGTGGAAATTTCCTGCAGATTGTGTGTGTGGGTCTGAGGGACTTTGGGATCTGACAGAGCAACTTTCCCCGTTCCGTCCCAGATTACTTAATCCTGGGAATCGATGCCAAAATGCATCCTATTCCACCAATGTGGACACTGTACTTTACCCTTGCCGCCTCTAACAACCCACCATTTGCCAAAAGAAAATTGCGTGGGGGCAGAGCTTTGTCCTGAGTAAGTTGGACAGCACTGCAAACATGTGTGCCAGTGTCTGAAAACCCGTACAGGATGAATTAACTCTAGAGCAAGGCTTCACTGCCAGGCTTCCACATTTCAGGCTAGAATGGAGCATGCTGTGCCAGAACTAAATTGTTTTCCTTCTTAAAGTTGAAACTTTCAGAGTCGGACCCGTTTTACCGAAGGATTCATTGCACCAGAGTTTATTTTCAAAGTGGAGCTCAGGCCATTGTGGGTCCTTTGTTTTAAATAAATAGTCTTACCCTGAAAATTGATTACAATATGTTAACCATTTGTAAGAAATTCTGAATAAACTTTGTTGTCGCTACTTTTCCTGTATGAAGAGGGCTACCAGCTCTTTCTGGTCTGGTCAAGTGAATCTTTGGGCAGCAAGAATTATCACATCTTACTCCGTGACTTATGGAGGTTTTGTGGTGCTGTGGTTAGCATCCCTACCTCTGAGCAAGGAGGTCTGTGGGCCTTAATGACAAAAGAAAGTGCATTCACACTGAGGGTAAAGCAGATTGAGTATCACACTTTGAAACACTTCTGAAATACTCCTATCGCAGGAAGTAAGAGTAAGAGAGATTCCATACATAGAACGTAGAACAGTACAGCACAGGAATAGGCCCTTCGGCCCGCGGTGTTGTGCCAAACATGATGCCAAATCAAACTAATCCCTTCTGCCTGCCCTTGGCCCATATCCCTCTATTCTTTGCATATTCGTGTGTTTATCTAAAAGTCTTTTAAATGCCCCTATTGTATCTGCCTCCACCACCACCCCTGGCAGTGCATTCCAGACTCCTACCACTCTTTGTGTAAAAACCTTCCCCTCACATCTTTTTTGAACTTTCCCCCTCTCATCTCAAATGCACACCTCCTAGTTTTGGACATTTCAACTCTGGGAAAAAGATTCGGATTGTCACCCTTATCTATGCATCTCATAATTTTATAAACTTCTATCAAGACTCCCCTCAGCTTCTGCCACTCCAGAGAAAATAATCTTATCTTTTCAGCCTCTCCTTATAGCTCATACCCTTTAATCCAGGCAGCATCCTGGTAAGAGATAGTAGGAAGAAGGGTCTAGGCCCGAAACGTCAGCCTTCCTGCTCCTCTGATGCTGCTTGGCCTGCTGTGTTCATCCAGCTCCACACCTTGTTATCTCAGCATCCTGGTAAACCTCTTCTGCACCCCCTCCAAAGCCTCCACATCCTACCTGCAATGTGGCAACCAGAACTGAATGCAATACTCTTAAGTGTGGCCTAACCAAAGTCGTTTGAAGCTGCAACATGATATCCTGACTCTTGTACTCAATTCCCCAACCAATAAAGGCAAGCACACCATACACTTTCTTTACCACCCAATCTTCTTGTGTGGGCAATTTCTGGGAGATATGGGCTTGAACCACAAGATCCCTCTGCACATCATCCATGTGATGGAAAGACCATGGAGTCTGTACTGTCATTGTCTACAGGTCTGGACTACAACTTGGATGTAATAGTGCACATTATCACACTAATTCTGTTAGTGAACTGTACCTCTCACTCTGAAGTCATGAGGCGTGTTCAAATTTGACTCCAGGACCTCAGCACCAAGTCCAGACTGTAGTACCATGACTTCTTTTGGCTGAAATATTAAACTTTCTTCCCTCTCAAATGGATGTAAGAGATTCCAAGGTATGATTTTAAGCAGAAAGTGTGTTCCCAATGCAGGGAAGCAGGGCAGACATCTTTAAATTTGTGCATGCACTGCTGCACACATTGCCCCAATCCTTAATAAAGGTCTGGTTGAGAAGTGAGGATAGAACGCAGGTATTGTGACATTTGTTGCACATATTGCATTGTTCTGCGCAGCAGTTTTAGCTTCACTGTGTGGCCAGACTGATATCAGCTTGGATTTGTCCTTCTGAAGTGAAGCTACAGTAAGAGGTTTTCTCTACACAATTAACCCCAAAGGGTCTGCAATGTAGTTGTACCTGGAGCAAAGAAAAATGTTTTTCAGACAATCTGCCGGATGGTCCTAAATTTTTGAAAGCTAACAAATATCTTTGGTGTCACACCAAAGGTTGCTCCAAGTTTGTGCATGCTAGTGGAATGAATTTGGCTGCAAACATTCTATGTCAAAGGAGAGTATGGGAGTCTCTGTTCTGGCTAGTGCTTATCTATCAATCAACATCACAAAAAACAGATAAGCTAGTTGTTTGCATTCTGTAGTTTGTGCAAATTTGCTGTCTTTCTTATTTTCTACTCTTAACAAAGTAGTTCATTGGTTGTAACCTGATTTGGGATGTTTCCGATGTTTGTGAAAGGTGCTTTAGAAATGCAAATCCTTCTTTCTTGCAAACAAAAAAGAACAAATGACAATGTTTCAGATTAAGGATGACAAAAGAGCACCGGCTATCAAAAAGACTGGGTTAAGATAACCTAAGGAAGAAACATTCCCGTGTAACTAAGCATGCTGAGGAACTCAGTAAACATGTTGGCTGGCTCATAGTAGTCGGTAAGGTAGCACAATGGCAGAGGTCTAGGAAAAAATGGGCAAATCTGTAAAAAAAAGCTAGTGTTGAACATAATTTGGTCCTCTTTTTCAATTTAATTGGACCCATCTTGCCGGGCACTTTGATTGTGGCAAGTTGCTCTTTTAACAGTAAGAATTATACATCACATTATACTCATTAACCACACGTTGGATAAGCTGAGTAAAATGCAGATTTGATTTCAGTTACTGACGCAGCTCATTACTGCTTTAAACCCCTGTATTTAGTACAAGGTTAACTCACACATTATACTGAATGCAATTTCTGTTAATCACATCGATAATGATTCTTTATATATAGTTAACATAAGTTAGAAAAAACATCATATTTTGCTTACAAACCCTAAAATACTTCTGTCATTGCATCATAGTAAAAGTGACTAACAGCAGTAAAGTTATACTTTGCAGGATTTGTGAGGAATGTTTGACTAAACATGAGTTGAATAATATAATGTAGGAAGTATTAAAGATTGCTTAATATGTAACCTATCTTTCTGTCTATCTGGACGTATTGCACAACGAAAATGCAAACAAAAATTCTGTATTTTTGTAGGCCAGATCAGCTTCCTGCTCTTTGCTTTACTTGGAGTTATAGTCTGGATTCAATACAATATGGAACGTCCCAACCTGTCGACAGAATGTGTCCACTTCCAGTTAAATATTATGATGACTGAGTGAAGCAAACTTGGTCAAGACTTTCTGGTCTCCTTATTACTGGATATATGACCCAGGATGCACATCAGGATCCAGGAGAGGTCCTGACTGACTTCCGATTGCACTTCCCTGCTTCCCGTGACTATCCGTAAAAATCACCGAGATGCAATTGGAAATTTTGGACACTACTAACCTGAATGGTTACGAAGAAATGTTGGAAAGGTTAAAATCTGATCTAATCCCTGGGCAATGACACAACTGACCTGCTCCATTCTTTCACAATGATTACATTGAGTCTCCATGCAATCGACTTATACTTTCCACTAACGCACTGACACTCCCCAAATCCCAGATACCTGGCTGACCTGACCTGACCTGACCTGACTGTCCCTGGAGCCATTCCACTGCCCGTCCTATCAATCAGACACAGCTACTTGCGCACCCTGACTAACCCTGTTGACCACACTAACCCCCAAACTGACTATCCCTTCTGACCTGAACTGACTACACCCTCGTCCTCACCTGATGACACCTCCTAAAGGGCAGCATGGTGGCTCAGTGGTTAGCACTGCTGCCTCACAGTGCCAGGGACCCAGGTTCAATTCCAACCTCTGGCAACAGTGTGTGGAGTTTGCACTTTCTCCCTGTGTCTGCGTGGGATTCCTCTGGGTGCTCTGAGTTCCTCCCTCTCTAAAAATGCTCAGGTTAGGTGGATTAGCTATGCTAAATTACCCATAATGTTCAGGATTGTGCAGGCTACTAGTGAACTACATTTCATTGTCACATGTACAGGAGTACAGTGAAAGCGTATAATGTCACCACACCTGCGCTGTCTTATGTACAAAGTACCTAGTTACAAATCTTGGGTATTAAAATAGATTAGGTACAAAGAGGAAAGTTCTACATTACATCCTTCATAATATGACTTAGGAAAACAAAGAAATAAAGTTAAAAGGTAAACATTATAGCCCTCTATAGCCTGCAATCGCTCCAATCTAGTGGCTTTCCACGCGTGGTCTCATTCTCCCTTATGCTGGGCCAACTGCACAAGCCGCTGACCGCTATCTGTGACAGGCTAACTGCACTGGACCCCTGTCTGTTCCTGCTGGCCACTGACCATCCCAGCATTCTTCCTGTTGCCTGAAACCACACTGACCCAGATGGCAACCTCAGAGCAACCTGGCAGGTTCTGAGGGGTGGTAGATTCTGCCAGACCCCTGGGAGTAGGATGACCCTCCTCTGGTTCACCTCATCTGCCAGCAGTTCCAGGACGCTGCCACAAAGCAAAAGGTGCCAATTCCCCTTCGTCTGTAATGTCCAGGAGAAATGCCTGGAATCGTGGGCAGCTCTGGACTGATAAGTGCATGTCCAGTTGCACAAAGGCCTTTTAAAGATGGCGCTGGGGCCAGGGATGTTAGTGAATTCACTGAGATATCCTGACTGTGGC